CAACACATAAGCGAAGGGAGCTATCTTTCTTTTCACGGAACAACACTGGGGCCGCTACCCAGGGTCTAGCGGGTTGGATGAACCCACATTCCAAATTCTTATCAATAAATGACCGCAGCTCTTCTAGCTCCCGCGGTGTCATCGAGTACAGCTTTGGTTTTGGGCGTTTCACCCCAGGTAAAATTTCAATGCTGCAATCTGTTGAACAATGGGGCGGAAGCTCATCCGAGGCCTTTTCACTGAATACTTCCTTTAAGTCCCAATATTCCCCCGGAATTTTCTCCTCCCCCTTCAGTTTCTCGGTACCCATGGAGTGAGACTCTTGCGTTTCGGTTGAGATCGCCCCTTCCCTTCCGGGCGCTGGTCACTACGTATGTGCAATGACCCCCTCCTCCAATCAACGTGGGGGTTCCATTTCCGGAGCCAGGGCAATCCCAGTATTAGCGGCTGTTCCATTCCAGGGGCCACAATAAAGCACAAAGTTTCTCTATGCTTCCCCTTTGTCATTTCTATGGGTTCCATTATGAAATGTGCAGGGCCGCTCCCAGCTACCGATCCATCCAATTGGCAAAAGGCTATCGGCATTTTTAAGGTCTTCAGTCTTAAGCCCATTTTCTCCACTACTTCCAAGCTGACTACGCACCTTGTGCACCCAGAGTCTAACAAGGCCAGCATTTTCCCTTTGGTTCCCGATGTGGGTACCCTTAACTTCACTGGAATGGTCATAAGGCCCTTGTTTGGACTTACCAGTAAGTCGTCTTCCGATTCGGATTCACTCTCTTCAGAAGAGGTTGGAGGTCCCAGCTCCTCTCCTTTCAGAGGGGCGACCTCTACAACCTCGTCCCCTTTAAGCGCCGTTTCGCGAGGCTTCACTAGGAGTTTTCCAGGTCTTTTTTCTCCTCCTTGGGTTCCAACTTGGCCCGGCAGTCTGCAGCCCAGTGACCTTCCTTCCCACATCGGAAGCAAGCAGTGGTCTTGGGTTTCACCACTATCCCTCCCTTTTGGGGATTTTAAGGCTTCTCGAGGACGAGTGGGGGAGGACTTGCTCCAACCAGACCCCCCCGGCGTCTGTTTCGGGTCAGATCAATTTCCACCTCTGCTGCCAGCATGTACCACATCTGCAGCTCATTGGGGTCTCTTCTGGCACTGCAGCTTTGGTATACATCTTCATTTAACCCATCCTTGAATGCTTCTATCAGGGCTCCCTGGGACCAGCCTCGAATATGACACCCCGGCTCTCTAAATCCCTAGGTGTAGTCGGCCACTGATCTCCACCCCTGATTTATGGTCTTCATCCTAATTCTGGCCTTACGTTCAGCAAGTGGGTCTTCAAACCTGGCCCACAGCGCAGTCATGAACAGGTCATAATTCATCAGCTGAGGGGCATTATCATTATGCAAAGTCACCATCCACTTTGCAGATGTTCCCTCCAGAGCCCTGGTAACACATCTAACTTTGGCTGCTTCTGAGGAAAAATCCCCTCGGTATTCCTCCATATGGCTCCAGACTTGTGCCAGGAAAAATCCTAACTCCTTGGGATCCCCACATATTTTACTTCCAACGGAGGCACCTTTGGAGTTCTATGTCTTCTGGCAATTACTCCTCCTGCTGGGGGCCCCTAGGCTGCTGCTGCCTGTTGTGCTAGCCCGGGTTGATTTATGGGGGTGGCTGCTCTGCTTCTTCTGGCTGGGGCTGCCTCCCCCTCCTCTCCCTCATACCTTTGTTCAGTTTGAGGTTCTCCGATGGCTTCATTTAGAAGATGCATGGCTTGATTTAGTAAAAAGTTCTTCCTTTCCTTCTCTTGCCATGGCTCCTCTCTTCCATGCTGACGGGTAGTGGTCACTCCTAGAGGAGGCTTTTCCTCAGAATCCATCCGACTCCCAGGGACCACTTGGGTTTTACAGCTGGTTTTTCCCCAAGATTTAGTTCTGCTAACAAGTCAGCTTCCCTTGCTTCCTCTAGCAACAGAGAATCTTGTCCTCCAGTTGCTCCCAGGTCTTCTTGGTCGCTGGCTGGACTTGACATGATGTTCAGACCCCCTCGGAAGAAAATTTATTATCTCTCCGGGTAGGCTGGTAAGGTGAGATTCAGAATAATGTCAGCTGGTGCTCCATTCAAAATCCAAGAAAGAAATTCTTAGACTCCGTTAATCAGAGAAAAGATATCTTTTACTGGAAATCAAGTGGTAGCAACAAAAGAATTCTGAATCTGAGAAAATGGGCACGTAAATCACATATACAAAGTAATGGCAATGTTCCCACCCCCAATAGTTCAAATGGTTCTTCCAATTAAAAGTTGTGAATATCATCATGTGGACATCTCCAGGTGGTGATGAGGCTTCTGTCCGTTTACCTTGGCATAGTTTGATAAAGGTTTGCAGCTGTGCATAGCATAGAAGAGAAAGCTAAGCAAGGAATAGAAACCTAAGCAAGAATGTACTCCCCCCCCCCCAGTTTATACAGTTCTGGTTTGTAACACCTCCAGCTCACTTCCCATAGTTTTCCCCCTCCTCCCCACCCGTTACTTATGACAGCCGAAAGATGCAAAGCAAAGGGAGAAGATCTTGGAAGGCTGACACCCACCCTCTCCCACTTGTTAACTTTATAACTGTGTAACTTTGTTGCTTGTATCCTTACTATTTATATTTACTGTTTCCTAGTATGATTTGATTGCTTATTTGTATCCTATGACTATATTAAGTATTGTACTTTGTTTTGACGAATGTATTTTCTTTTTATATACACTGAGAGTATATGCACCAAGACAAATTCCTTGTCTGTCTAATCACATCTGGCCAATAAAGAATTCATTCATTCATTCATTTTAGATTGTAAGATATTAGCTTTTCTCTGTGATGCTTTCTAGTAGGAAAGTAATAATATAAAATAAAAAAATTAAACTTTCCATCTCTGGTATTCTTTTTTTCTAAATCAAACCCAGGTAATCCTCAGTTAATGATGGTACATGGGACTAGAATTTCCATCATTAAGCAATACAGTCATAAAGTGCAATGTGACCATATCACTTAGAAATGGCAACCTTGGCACTTCACATTGCCATCATTAAGCAAGGATTGTAGATCATTAAGATTTTCTTACAACCTGCCAGCTCTCAACAAGGAAAATCAATGGAGAAACAGTAGGAATTTGTAATTCCCAGGCAACTTCCCAGCAGGCTGGCAGGCAAATAAGTGGTTGCTGCAAAGTGCATGAAGGGACACTGGGACATGACATGAATGCGGTGGGGCTTGGATTGACTAATGCACAGTCATGAAGGGCTGGTGTGGTGTGTGGATAGTGGGGCTGAGGGGTGCTGCAGGTGGGGGGAGACCTACCTGAGCAACTTGCTACTCTTCCTACTTGTTTTATGTGTGTTCCAAGTAACAACTTCCAAAGAAAAAGACTCTAAGAATATCATCTTCCCAAAGATCCGTTTTATTAGAAATGTCATATTGACACATCTGGGGAAAACCTGAATCTCAGAATTTCTGGTTTTCCCTAACCCCCAAAACCCAAAATCCAATCCCTGCACCTAAATATCCATCACATTGTCCAATCCTCACTTCGTTCCAACTGGAGACTACCCCCAGTCATTCCCCCCAGGTGCAGGGTACATGTCCTTGACTTTCTGGGAAAGGAATGTTGTGGCTAATCTTCCACTGCTCCTTGAAATCCCCCTTCCCAAATTCCCAGGCACTGAATATGGCAACCCAGAAGCCTCAAATAAAAAATGGCTTCCAAGCTGACATTTTCTTTGCTTGTGGGAAGCCAGCAGGGAAGATTGCAAATGGCCTCATGAGATTGCAGGATACTGCAACCATCACAAAGTGTTATCCAGTTGCTAAATGCCCAGATCACAATCATATGACCACAGAGGTGCTGGAACGCCAGATTTTGAGTACCGGACATGAATACCATTCATTCAGTGCCACCATAAGCATGAATAGTCACTGAAAGAACATCATTAATTGAGGACTTCCCCATAGTTCTTAGTATTTATAATTTTAATTGAAGGAAAATTACTCCATCTCCTAACTATCTGAATCTCAATACCATATCTGATTTTTCTAGTTCTTTCTTTGAGATGTAATGGTCAGCACTATAGATTGTTTTCCAAGTATTGCTATATGAAAGTATTGTATAAAGAGATTACAAAAACTTTATATTATTTCTTTAACCACCCCAAGACCAGAATGCATCTGCTGTTTAGGGAAGTTATTGACTTGGTTCAAATTTTTGCAGGATCCCTTTTTTTGTGATTATTAGCTTCAATACTCCTACCAGTGTATGCCAACATCAGATTTTAAAGACAAATGTTTCATTGTATTTGCTATTTTGTTGTCAGTCCTTTTAATTACCTCTCTGGAGTCCTTTGGGTTTTTTTATTTTTACTACTTTGAATACTTGTTACTATCCATCAGATTGGTTCATCTGTAACTCCAAATCCTTTATTAATTTGTTAAAAACAGATGGCCTAATTTTTTTCCTCCCCACACAATAACAATTATCCCGTTATGCTTACATATAGTTATTTATATATACTTCACTACATAGTTTTGTTTTTAAGAAAGTTTAAGTGGATAAGCCCTACTCTTTGTCCTCACAATGAAGACTGAGCATAACAATTTGTATAGGGGAACATGGTGAGATCTGGGTTCTCTGCAAAAGCACTAGGTCACATATGGCCTGTACATTATGTGTTATTCGCCATCTAAAAGGTTAGTGAGACTAGCTTTGCAAAAACCATAGTTATTTTTCTTCAGCAATTTACATTTTATTTATTTTACTATGAGTTATCCAAATGACTTTCGGTATAAATAATGACATTTAATATCAAATTATATGAGGATCTTAAATTTTAATTATTTGAGAGTAAACCATTTGTCTAATTTAAATGTTTTATATCAATAACTCTTTCAGGACACTGTAGAAACAAAAATGGTTTCCACAGAAGTTTCCTACATTTTCCAACCTTTATTAATGCTAAGAGTACATACTTACCTTTAATGTAATCTTGGTATTCACAATCTCAATCTTCATGGGAATAACTTCAGGAATGATTTCATCTTCAAGGAAGAGCCCAATGCTAGAAAGAGACGATGTCAGAAGCTCTGCCTCATAGCTATGGATCAGCATATGAAAAAAACCATTTTGGGCAGCCAGAGGTGAGTGCACTGCAGCACTTGGTCCAATTTCATATTGTAAACACACCTCAGGTTGGGTTTGGATAGTTTCAGTAGTTGTAGACCTCTCTGTGTTTGCATCTCCTGAAGAACAAAATCATTCCAACAGATATTTTCAGTAATAATTATAATACTACTATTACTATAAATTAAACATAGAGATCTGGGTGGCAAGGGGAATGAAAGGTTTGTAAAAAAGAGAATGAAAATGCACAACTCTAACTGAATAATATTTTAGGGGCTTAAGGGCATGGCTGGCATTTGAACTGGGTGCTAAGAATTTACCTCTAGAAATTAGATGGGGATAAGGATAAAAACAAAATTGGAATAAAATTATTTAATATATATAATAATTTTTTATTCTGCTATTCTTCAAAACTGCAGTTTGGTAGCAACATGCAAGCAATCCCTGAAAATTGCAACCAAAAATTTTGGGACCACAGGCAGCCCTACCCATACACTTCAGTTCTATTCACATCTGATACCAGCAGTTATACACTACAGAAGGTTCAAAAGAAAAGTGCCTTGAATAGAAAATAAGATTCTCTAATTCAGGACTAGTGGATGGGCAATTGTTCCAGTATAATAATAATGTGCTAAGAAAGATGGAGAGTGGTTGAAGCTAAAAAACAATTGGCTCTTTGTGCTTCATCTTTCTTAAGGACATGATAAGAGAAGAACCAGGTTAATATATGGTAGCAAAAAATCAGCAATCTGATAGCACCTCTCAGTATCAAGCAAATGCTTTACCTCCTATTTTCTTCAGCTCTGCCCATTAACACTTAGAATGAAGGAACCTGGTACTAACTCTTAGCATGTCTGATTTCAAAAATTACCTGCTGTCTTTTTGTGCCCCATTGTTGGTGAGAGGAACTAAAGCGGGATTATTATTTCAATATCATTTACATACTGAGACATACAACTGTGCTAGCAGAGAAAGGTTTTATTTACACAGATTTGCACATTAGCATCAAAGCTGCCAAACTGCAGCTAAATACTTTGCTGACCACTAACGTACCTGTGGGAGCATTCTGCAGGTACTGCCACATGCTGATATTTCCCAGATGTTGAGGAGTTAGTTCCATAACTTGAAGAGCAAGTGTCATATCATCTCCCTTTGATTCTACTACACAATTCAATTCATTGGTTTTTAACACCAGCACAGAAACCTAAAACAGAAAGCTCAGAATAAATGGAGGCTCAAATTCTCAAATTCTACAGAAAAATTGTTGTCAAAATAACAAGAAAAAAAATCACAAGAATCTGACCAACTGAGTATTAGGATCCTGTCCACTCAGAGAAGCTGAGCTGTTAACACATGTTGATCCTCTTTCTTCCTCTCCCACTGAGCTTGATCTAATGTCTCTATCATTAGGCATCTGGGGAAGTTGTCCTAAGGTAAGAAGATCAAGACTCGTCTCTGAAATAAAAACAACAACATTTTAAGTATTTTTAGCACAGAAAACATTGCAAGAATTCTGGGGGGAAAAAAAGTCTTCAGTACTAATTCTAGCATGAGTTATCTAGAATTCTGACTTCTTTTGCCCCCCAAAAAGAAAGTTTTAAAACTGAAATAAAGAATACTATAGTATTATGCTTGATTGTAGTCAGCCAGCTGTTTACACTGGATTTGGCATTTTTTATCCACTTATCCTTCCCAAGGCCTTTGAATAAACAGATGTTTTTGTTTAATGTTGTTAAAGGTATCATTGCAAGTTGTAAGCTGTTCCAAGTAAAACTGCCTTTTTGCAAATGGCTGATTTTGTTAATGCAGATGGTGTTCAGTGATGTTCTAGACTTTTTGGGAATTATTATTACCATAACTACTATTTCATCTATCTCTACTTGCTCCCTCTCTCCCTCCCTCTCTCTCTGTCTTACACACATACACACACACACACACACACATTAACTGGCTTTCAAGCTTAAAGGAGGCTGAGGACTCAGTCTTCTACTTTTTGGACCACCACATTAACAACTACATCAAACTGAATCTCTTTAATTGTAAAAATAATTAAGAATTCTGTATCTTTCCATAAAAATAAGTAATATTTAGACTTGAATATAACAATAAAAAAGATGGATTCAATTCCAGCGCAACATCTTGGTAGAAATTATGAATGGTACTTCTAATATTGTCATATTCAGGACTTTTAAAGAACTTTATTTCCCTAAATATACTTGTGATTTATTGCCCTCTTTATTCATCAGCCTACACTTGCAGCACATAACCAACTTTCACAAATTTAGACAGCTACGCAGAGTTTGCCCTTGTTAGTCTTTAAATAGGGAACAATTTGTGAAGTTTAGGATTATAGGCTGGACTTAAGAGTTTTATTTAATGGAGGAAATGAGTTAAAGAAACAAAAACGGTAAAGGAGAATATATGTAGCTTAGGGTGAACTGTGGAATCCTTGGTGATCTCTGAGCTTAGTTGTTTGTTTGCAAGACATTACATTCTCCAACTACGTAACATCATCAATGGCATGATGTTAACTAGTTGGGTACTGAAATGTCCATAAGCAAATAACAAAGCTCAGAGGCACCAAGTATTAAATATAAATCCCATGTTTCTTCATCTCGGGATTTGATTTTCGATTTCCGTTACTTTGGTATGGTTATCAACATCAATTACACGACCAACAAAATCTATGACAAGAAAAAAAATCTCACCATCAAAACACTCAACAAGGAAACTGTGCAAACAATTTTTTTGCGATCAATTTTAGCTGCTCCCAATGGAATTCCAAATGCCCAGTTAAGACTCGAGACAGGAATGCCGTTAATCCAGGACAGAGCCTGGAAGATGACGATAATATACTGGCTTAAAATACAATTCTTTCCAATTGGACTGACCCCCTTAATTTTAACAGATAATTTGTCTTCTCCCTGAAAACAGGCAGTGGAATATAAGTTGACTTCATATGGGCTCTCTCTACCATTTTTAATATCAATAGGCTATGATCAAGCCAAACAATGAATTATCAAAGAATAAGCGATGTAGAGTTTCAGACCAAAGTCAACACTTATCCCAACATGGCAGAATGTAAATAAATTAAGAGACTTGGGAATCAGCATGTTATCTGCAAAACCTGATTTTCTCCAAGTTGTAAAAAGCATTTTTAAAGCTGGATAAAATACTCTTCCACCAGCAGTACTTCAAGGCAGGTATAATAAAACCCCCATAGCAGAGTGACGTTTCCATGTGGCAATAAGGAAACTGAAACCATCTCACTCATATTACCGTATTACACTGCTAATTTCAGAGGAATATAAATATCTATTTATATTTCACCCCAATAGATAAATCCCCAGGGATTTATAAATAAATAAATAGATAAATATATATAGATAAATATAAATAGATAAATTTTATCTGACTCATCTTCTACAGAATGACTCACCCACTATATAACCTATGCAGTAGATGAATTTTGTGTTTCCGCAATGGAAATAAGAAAAAAATGGTTAAAGAAGTAGTTGGTTTAAGAGGTTCTTGCTTTTATCCATAATATCACTTTTACATATTTTTTTCAAACATACCTATTTAACAGACCAGATTATATAATTCCCAGCATTACTACTGTCATACCTCCTAGGAGCTGCTAAGAGCAACAGTTCAGCAACATGTAGCTCCCTGCCAATTCCTTATACCTGACAGGTATAGATTAATGCCCACGAGATGCTCTGCTCTAGCTAGCCTTTTAAAAACATATTCTTTGAACTAAAAAATGAAATAGAAAGTTGGCATGATGTAAGACAAAGAAGTAGCACATTTATTTACAGGATATCTTTGGGCCCAACAGAGGTTCCATTGGGAAGATAGATACCAACCATTCTGGCAAACGATTGACTTGTGATGACCTGCCACAGCAGCTGTTTCCAGAATATGCAATTCTCCCAAGGTAGCCACTTTGTAAGAAATCTTCTAAAATACTAAATGTTTTTACTTTACAATTCCATATGTTCCATTTAATTAATCTGTAATAAGACCAAAACCAAATAAGCTCTTATTACCTGAATTCATAGGCATTACAAAGCCATCACTGCCATCACTATCTACTGACAGTCTATCTTCAAGACCACTGCCATCTAATGAATTGGTATCAAAGGAATGTTGTGAAGCAGTCTTCTTCATGGAGGAGAAACGCGTACTTTCACTATTACTTCCTACTTGAGTCACTGCTGCTTCTTCAGGCTTTGGTGAAGGATCTCTGCTGACAACCACAGATCAAAATTTGTTGGCATTAATGAACATAGTTATCATGTAAGCATACAGATACGGTCATAAGTGTTGTTGTCTCTTCATTTTTTCCAGAGAGTCCCAATTTGTCATGAAGTAAATTAAATTTGACAGAAGTAAATGGCATCCACCATTCTTTATTCTATAGTCTTTATAAAACAAAAGACATTTTGTTTTTAACATAATTGCACAGACATAATTACTGGTAGCCATTAGAAGTTAAGTGACATTATTAAATTTTAGTAATCTTTCAAGCAGACTATGTGCTAAAATGCATGCTGACAAGCCACAGTTTTTTGGGAGAATGTCCTTTGGTCAGATGAAGAAAAATTAGAGCTTTTTGATAAATCACAGCAATTCTGTTTTCAACAAAACAGAAAAAAAAATTGGGAAAAAATGATACTTTTAAAGAAAAGACCGCCACCCCTACAAATGAATCATGGATGAAGCTCCCTAATATTATAGGGTTGCTTTGCTGCCTCTGGTATTGCTGCCTTGCAGGATTCAGTGAAATCAGAACATCATCAAGATATTCTGGAGTGGAATATAGTGCCTAGTGTTAGAAAGCTTTATCTATATCAGAATTATAACCAAAACTTACATCTAAGAGAATGTTAAGAAAACCAACAATGGCTGAAAAATAAACACTGTATTGTTCTGAAGTGGGTGCTTGCTATGAGTCCAGATCTGAATCGAGTAAAACATTTATGGAAAAAGCTGAATATCCCAATTGGGAGAAGGACCCATCAAACATGAGATAATTGGGACAATTTTGCTCAAATGGAGTGGAATGGAACAAATTGCCAGTTGAGAAGTGTAGAAGTATTATTCAACGCTCCAGAAAGAGTTTGACTGCAGTTATTGCCTCAAAAAGATGTGCTACAAAATATTAGTTTAGAGTACCAATAATTAGGTCCATGCCCAGTCACACATCAAAAGCAAAGAGTCTGCTCTTTGGAATAATGAAAAGTGGATGCCATTTACTTGTGTCAGTTTCAATTTATAGAATTGGAATTACAGGTAGTCCTTGACTTACGACCACAATTGAGCCCAAAATTTCTGTTGCTAAGTGAGACGTATGTTAAGTGAATTTTGCCCCACTTTACAACATTTCTTGCCACAGCTGTTAAGCGAATTACTGCAATTAAGTTAGTAACACGATTGTTAAATTGATTTGGCTTCCCCATTGACTTTTGCTTGTCAGGTCACAAAAGGGGATCACATGACACCAACACACTGCAACCCTCATAAATATGAACCAGTTGCCAAGCATTTGAATTTTGATCATGTGACCACTGAAACAGTCATAAGTGTGAAAAACTGACACTTTTTTCAGTGCCATTATAACTTTGAATTGTCACTGAATGAACTGTTGTAAGCCAAGGGCTACCAGTACTTGGCAAAAGTTGAGGGATACCAATACCTTTGGCCATATCTGTATATATTACACATGCAATTTTGTATTCAGCAAGAAAAAAAACACATCGCAGTTCTCTCCTTTCTATTCCTGTGAGAGAAATGGCAATTTTGTCTCACTGGAATCTATTTCCCATAAGTGGTATTTTACTACACACATCCACTCAGAAGAATAAATATAAAGATGAATTAGAAGTCAGCAATGAGCTGCTTCAGTGGCTTCAGTGTCTGGGATGAAAGGGATATTTTGCCCTCTCAAATGTTACATGGCCAACAGTAATTACCTCTCTTGGGTTGAAAAAGTAGCAAAGATATAAAGAACTCTAAGTAGCTTTTTAACTTTCCATAATACCATTTGTAACTCTGAAAAAAATAGTGTAAAGTCTGAAAACCCTAGAGAGGAAAAGTGGCAATGATAAATTAATTACAAGGGGAAAAAAGACTAGCATAGTAAAAAATGCTTACAGAGTACCAGGAGATTTATCTAAAGACAATCTACAACATACACAGCTTGTTTCTAAAATTCTAAAACTATGATTCCTTAATATCATGGCAGAGTAGTTCATCCTAAAGCCAGCATATGGAATAAGTGACAAGACTCCTAGAAAAAATGTAATAAAAAAGAACTATAATCAAAGGCCTATTAAATAATTCAATAGCAGGTAAAAGATAAAATAAAACAAACTCTGGATTACACTTGCCCAAATACATAAAGGAAGATGGAACAGAAGATGGCAATAATCACTATTATCCTAATTGTTGTGTTAGTTTCAAGTATTACTCACTTGATTTGGGGGTGGAACCGCATTTTCTGCATAGTGGAAGCCATTTTTTCCTTGCTCAAGCTGAAAGCATCTTTTGTTATTGACATGGCTTCTTTAGTGAGGTCCATAGTAACATGCAAGGCTTCCTTGGTGGCATCCTTTGTTATATGCAATGCACTAGATAACTCCAGCTCCATGTTTCTCAATGGAATCAACTCTTCTTGCCCATTAAGAGAGACATGTATACCACCTAAAGGATCTACAATGGAAGATGGTCTGGAAGGAAGAACTTCAGAAGTCTTGGGTAGGTTGACGTGCTCATACTGTTTCTCTGCATCAGGGATTTCTTCAGCTTCATGTGCTTCTTCTACAGGGCTCCTCTGTCCAGTGGTTTGACTATGAAATTCTTCCGTCAATGATCCATCAGTCTGGGATTTCAGCATTCCATTTTGTGATGCAGTCATATTCCTATCTGTATTCTCAGTTCCAGTATCTTCTAACATTTTTATGGGACTACTATTTTCCTTCTCGGAGCTGACATCTGATTCTTTGCTTTCAGCAATTAGTTTTTCCCTACTCTCGGAAGCTGAGAGTTCAGATTCAACTAGACTGGTAGTATCTGAATCTACAGATCTCGGTTCTAGTGAAGAACCAGGAACAGGATGCATCAGCAAAGCCACCTCAGTACTGTTGAACATGATGCCTATGCAAGTGGTTATGGAATCTAAAGGTGACCCAGTTATTTCCTGGGTATCTAGGGTAAATTGCTCTTGAAAAGTCTGTAGTACTTCTTTCATCCTAAGCAGCATCAAATACTGATAATGAGTGAGTTGCATCTTCATATGAGCACTTGAATAAAGAAGTACATGGATATCGGCAGATATTTCTGTATCATTATCCTTTCCTTCATCATTAACAGTACAACTTTCTTCCATGACTTCCTTTGCCTCAGGGGTAAGGTAGATGCTTCTCAAATTCTGCTCAGTCTTTGATCTTTGGCAGAATTGCTCCTCACCAGAAAATACCTGGTTCTCAGTATGATTACTAAAAGTTGTGGAAGATTTAAGTCTAACATTTGAGGTAGATGAAACTTTCAGCATTGCTGCCTGGGCTTGTTCCCATTTCTTTGGGAGGCAAGCCCACATACAGAGTGGAAAAGGGTAGATAAAGTTAAGGGCCTCTCCTTTGGAACTTTTGGTCCCTTCAAAATCCAAGGACACCTGGGTAAAATTAACAGACCAAAGATCTTCAAAAACAGAAGATTTGCCAGGAAAATGACAGAAATCTGTTTGCTGCTGGACACTGGTATCCACCTGGTATGCGTGACGTAGAAAGAGAGTATGCAAAAGACTAAAGTTGTCCTGAAATTTAGGGAATTTGGTATAGCTAGAATGGAAGAATTCAGAAGCAGCAAATCTACGGAACAGGTTCTGCAGGGCTAAACAACTGCAATGAGGTGCATGCCTTGTATTAGTAGCTGTCACTTCTGATGTGGACATAGAGAGACACTGGGGACGGTCCTGGTGATCAATTACTTTTTTGTCCACTGGGATGTTTACCTGTATGAGGTACAGAAGGAATATTAAGAATGATCTATATGGCCATAAAAGCACAGAAATAAAACAGGATTTAAGTGAGTATTTAAAAATGCTTACAGCACACTACTAACATGTTATCTTGATAAAAAAAATATTTATATTAGCAATAAGGAACTGAAGCTGGCAGATTGTGATCTACATAAGGCCACACAACTCTGTTATGGATGAGTAAGGGAAAAATAAAATTCCCCAAATTTAACATATGATCCTACATTTGTAGTCTACATTACGGAAACATACTCTTGTTTAAACAGTTTTACGATAGTTAGAAGACTCTAGTAATCTTTTTTATAAACACTATAAACACTAAATCAAGGGGAAATTTAGTTCACAGAGCTTGTAAGAGGAGAATCATCCTATGGTAGCAAAATATCAGGAGTCTAATAACTGAGCTGCATAAACACACACACACACACACACACACATGCCTTTTAACACAAATTGTTTGTTAGAGAGGTGCTACCAGGCCAGATTTTTTTGTCCTTTAAGGAACTGGGATAATAATTTTGATTGACTTTATCTGATTTTCATATGGTTACACATTGATGGCATTTCAATAATAACAATTAAAATCTCAATTAAAATGACTACATGAAATGATCCAGTTAAAATACTATCAGTCCATGTAGAACCAAAAAAGGGGATTGCAAATGATATAAAAGCTGTCAGTGGATAAAACAAACAAGCCTAACTGGGCTATTCACAGATTGTCTTATTTGAAATATACTTGCTCTTTCTCATGCACACCCACTACTACACTTAGGAGAGTGCAGAGATATAAAGGACATCCCCAGTTGATGACAAAATTTCATACAAATGATCAATCTTAATTATCAACAATATTTATCAATGAGTCATTCTCCTCAAGAGCTCAAGACTTTTTTGCCTACCTAATTTAAGACACGATAGAAGCAAAAGCAAACAAACAAACCTTTAACATAAAGCCATCCAATCGAATATCAATGTGTTCCTCCCTTTTTCCAGAACTCTCCAGCTTGTATATAGCTTTAAACTGTTGTAGACTGCGATAGAGATCAAGGCAGAATAAATTCACCCAAAGCATGCTCCTTGTGTCAAAAGTGAAAACCAAACCATTCATCTGCAAGTACAAGTTTGGACTTGGGACTGGTGAAAAAAATATATATATATAGGTTAGTGTTCCACTGATTCTTGAATCCAATAGCAGTCGATCTTGAAACCAATTCTGAACCACTTTAGATCAACTACTAACCATGTTAGCAGGGTATGATAGAGGAGTGTAGTCAACACATTTGGAGAACTTCCATTAGTGAAGGCTGCCTTAAATAGGGCTAGAGTAGCAGTCCCCAACCTTTGCGGCTTGACAGCCCAGCTGAGGGGGAGAGAGGAACTGAGCCACACAACCAATGAGTCAGTGGGCACATGTATGTGTCAGCCTGCTGCTCATGCAAGTGGAGTTGTGTACACATGTGCTTGCCAGCCCGCATCTCACACAGCCCAATTCTGAATAGGCCACAGCCCAGTAGAAGGCCTTGTCCAGGGGTTGGGGACCCCTAGTCTAGAGGGATGCCTCTTGCCCCCTACAGGCATTCTTTGGGCAAATTTCCAAATCCCCAGGGAGACAGAGCATACTCCTAAACTGTAACAAAGAAGCAGAAAGAATAAGATGCTTCCACATAGAGATCTTAAAAAAGGGGGGCTGTGCAACTGCTATTCTATCTTTACAGTTTTTTTTGTATTAAGAAAAACATGATGGAAATGAAAGTGAAATGTGTTAAGCTGAAAGAAATAGCAATGTTGCCACTTTTATCAAAGTTTGTAAAAAAATTAGAGGAATATGATTCCTGAGATGGTCACCTGGAAAAGTAGTTTGGTCTGGAAAATAGTACTCTGTGAATACTATATGGATTGCTGACGTATGTTCCGGAAGTTTCAATAATTTCCTCCTACAGGAAAGTAATGTTGGAGGTTTCTTACTCTGCTGTCCAGCTGTAGAAACCTGGAAAGCAACAGAAATATTGGATATGTATATAGGTACATACATATGAATTATCACAGTGATACTCTTTGGACTTTTACACTTAAGTAATGTAGGACATGAAAGGAAAGATTTTAGAAGAAGAAAAGCACCAGTCATTGAAATTTTTGAAGCGCTATTATACAATACTTTTCAAATAGTATATTCTTGTGTTGTAAGTGAGACAGCAATTTGAGCTGATTCTTATTCCCCCTCTTTTTTCTTTTTTTGGGTGGAAAACTGTTTTGCTCTAATTAAGTTCTTTTTTAAATTAATCATTTAAAAAAAGAATATAAACCATAAAAAACAAGTGTTATATCAAAATAATAAGATAGTAAAGTATTAGCAAAATCCAAGTACAGGTAGTGATCATTTAGTGATTGTCTTGTTTAACAACTATTTGCAGTTATGACAGTGATAAAAAAGTAACTTTATGACCAATCCTTCCATTTACAACCTTTATAGGTCTACAGAATAAAAGAAAGTGGAAGTCAATTCACTTTGCTTAATGATCAAGCTGCTAGTCCCAACTGTGGTCGCTAAACAAGAACTACCTATATGTAAACATGGGATCTAAAATATCATGGAGATCAGTTTTATAATATCTTTGTTATTTATAGAGTTATAAATTATGTCATGTCATTTCTTAAAGGAAAAACAAAATTGCTATTAAGCTTTAAACGAAGAGTATACTATAGATCACTAACTAGAATTATAGACTCTCATGAATTAGATCAAAAATATATTAATTAAGAAATATAATTTATTATAAAGTTGAAATATGGACTTTACTGTAAATGTGAAAAATCATATAATATAGCCTGTGATGCTACCAGTTAAAAATCAAACTTAAAAAAAATAATTCAACATATGTTCCTAGTTATCTGTTCTTTAAAAGTCAGAAATAAGTAAGCAGATATTTATGACTTGGCTTTGAAAGGAAGAAAATTATGAAATCGACAAGCTTTTACATATCTTACTGGATGAAATCATATTTATAGAAGATGACAATGATCCCTTGTGCTGGTACAGCCCATCATGCCCTACCAATGACACTGGGTGGGATCACTGGGATAAATAATTATCTACTGTTAGATATGATTCTTAAGTGCATATTAGGCAAACCAATCAAACTAAAACTTCTTTGGAGGGGAAGAAGATGCCCAATGTGGAGAAAAGCCCAGTGACCAATATTAGTTTTGCATGTCAATAAAAGATGCTTTGTTGCATCTATCTCCAAATGCTTTGATTCCTTAGTTAAGTGGCATTTTCCCACATCAATAGCAACAAGCCACAGATAAGGGAACATATCTGCATGATGCTCACTTTTCCATATAAATGTTAGAATTTTACCTGATGAATATCCAGATCATCAACTCGAACAACCAGGCAACTGGATCGGAGTCTATTCCATGCAGGCCGTTGGAGCCCAAGCAGGGTATGAGGTGGTGTGCTAGCCTGATGTAACCCCTTCTCTGTAGAGCTTTTTGGAGAACTAGAAACATCATCTTAAAGCAAAACCGTCATAATAATCAGAACGAATTCTTCCTTTTAGCCATTAAAATCAATCCTTAAACTTAGAAGTATTGTCCTTGCCTTTCTCACCTTCAGTTGTTTATTGGCATGAAAAGTATCAAACCAACAATACTGAATGCAACAAATATAGAACTGTATGTGCTTGAAAATTCTACTTAGCAGAGGCTCAGAAGTTATAGCTTGACTTATTTATAAGTTATTTCTATAGCTGCCTCTTTAGTATTGTCCTTCCCATGACTACTAACAGAAGAAGGCAGAAACTGCTTTTTGAACAAGGATATTTTAAAAATATCTTAATATGAAGGAGTTATCATTAGGGCTCACCAATGATTATAGGCAACAAAACTTCAGAGCTATCCTCCCACCTTTAATACATACAGAAGACAGTGGTGCGTTTGTTCTCATGAAACAATTGTCAAATGGAAAACACATATTTATATAAAAATATATACACATCTGATATAGATTCCAGGGTTTAGCTTTCATAAGCTCTTAAAGTATTAGAAGCATCATCATTTCTGTTTGAAACAAGAGGAAGTATACTTTCCTCATATGAGACAATAGTGCTTTTAAATACAGTTGCACTGAACCCAGATGTATATGCATTATTTTTGACATATCGTAAGTTGTACCCCATCCCTATTCCTAAATTTCAGTTTTTAACAAGACACATAAGTAGCACAATGCAATGTGGATGCTTCAACAGTTGCCCTGTATTCATTATTCAGACGTAATCAGAAGTTAAATGAGGTTCTGAGTGAGCAAATACAGAAGAGCAAAGTGATCAAAAGAGGTGCTTTGGTAAATATAGGAGCACATCTGAAGAACCTCTTTTGAATGGTTAACGAAGTCAGGGGTGCTCACATTGCAACACTGGTCAAAAGGGCCCAGCAGAGATTATACTACCTGAGACTTCTCAGAAAACAACAACTGAATGAAAAACTGCTGGTGACCTTCTACTGCGGCACCATAGAGAGTATTTTAACTTACTGCACCTCTGTATGGTTTGCCAATTGCACAGTGGCAGATAGGAAAGCACTCCAGAGGGTTAATGTCATTGCCCAGAAGATCACTGGTTGCCCTCTCCCCTCTTTGGAAGAGCTTCATAGCTCCTCTGCCTTAAGACAGTTCAAAACATTCTCAAAGATCCATCTCATCCCGGGAACCCTTTTTCTGAACTATTACCATCTGGCAGACGGTACAGAATAATAAAAACAAGCACAAATAGGCTGAAAAATAGCTTCTATCCCAGGGCAGTACCTCTTTTGAATTCTGCTGTATAGTGCAATGTTGGTGTGGTGTGGTTTTGGTTCAATGTGTGGAGAGTGAAGGATGTGTGTTTGTGTTTATTTTCATGGTCATGGTCATGATGTGCACTGAAGATAGTGTTTGATTTCCTTGTATGAGGTGCAATGACAATAAAGTAAACTAACTAAAGTCATGCTGTTGCTAAACCTTGCATGTTTGCTCTGAAAGCTGCTCCCAGCTACCTGCAGCTGCAAAACCTTGATAAAGAATCTTGAGTTACCTTGTCTCTTTTTCAAAGGAGATTCCTTCTCTGCAGTTTTAAAGAAGGCAGAACCTATTTCTTCACTGTATTTTCCCATCTTGTTTTGGAATTCATTCACTAGTTTTTTTGCCCAATGTTCCCAGGTCTCCATGGCATCGCAATATCGCACCCAATGTCTGCAGCTATCACCTGAATAAAATAAGGAGTTTAAATTGACAAAATGACAATATTTCTGTCATCCAGCTCATTTCATTTTGGAAGACACACTTCTAATCTGGACCTCTCCGATCAACTAAGTTAAAAGGTTTTGTTGTTGTTAACTATACATCTAATTTACCTATCTAAAAATTTATTAATATGTAATAGTCTGTTTTCCATTGTAGCTTAACAAATGTTGCCATTTGATTCCAAACCACATTCTTAAAACCATTCCTATATCTAATGGAATTTGTACACAGTAAATGAATATTTATTACTCATAATTTTGCTCAGTAATGGCGACTTCCCTCGATGTCTTCCTTGTTAAAGGAAATATTCACTGTCCACCTTTAATCAGAATAGAGCTGGAAGGGACCTTGGAGGTCTTCTGGTCCAACCCCCTGCTCAAGCAAGAGACCCTATACCAGGGCTATAAAACTCCTGGCCCGTGGGCCAAATGCGTCATGTGCACCCCCATTTTAGCAAAGGGGAAAAAAGTGATGAAGCCCCTACAATTTTTAAAAAAAAAATAATACAAAGAATGACATAATTCCCTATTTTTTCTCCCCTGGAAATTATATGATTGTATTTAAATTTAGCAAAAGTGTCATTGATAGTTGTGCAGTCTATTGCTGCTTTTTCAGGAATGGACTATATGTTCAGCTCTTCCTCCATTGCAGCAAGTTCAGACAAAAGCTAATAGTATCCCCTGCGTTTTCCCTCTTGCTACACTCATTTCACTTGCTGCAATAGAATATTTGTACATATGCAATATCTCACTAATTTTGCGACATACCTGCCCAGTGGAAAGGATAATAGTCGAAGCCCATCTTCCTAAAAGTTAATTGCATTGCACCTCCCACTACACCATGTTTGGAAGCACCTGTGGTAAAATGGAATTAAAATGAGACAAATCCTGATTGCTGTATGCCTAGTTTACACAAATAGAATATGAATTGGTACTCCAGAACGCAACACTCTGAATAATATACATTATTTTAACCATAAATAAATTAGGTTTCACCTTTTGGAACATTTTTTTAAATGATGTCAAATATATAAATCCCTCAACATCTGTTTTTATTCAGATTTTTGTCCTAAGATATTTTCATTGGATTATCCAAAATGTCTCCATATTGTCATATAGCATGATTCTAATTAGTTATTGTTGAGGTAATTCCCCGTTAGGAGAATGAGCGCATACAGGGGGATGTATTGAGAGTAGTGTTTCAATAATACACACACAGCACACAGATACACTGTACAGTAAATGTAGGTTTTTTACTTTCAATAAAGGTTTAAGCAAAGTTCAAAATAAGCAGTCCAAAGTCATTCACGGGTTAAATCAGTCAGTTTTCAGTCCAGGGATAATCCAATAATGAAGTCCAGTGTCAAAAACAGTTCAGTAACAGACTTACATCAAATCCAAGAATATCAGTCAATTAGGAGGAACCGCAATACTCTCCAACAGAAGGAAACTCACTGAGACTTCTTCTGAGACTAAGACTAAACAACCCAGGTTTCTGGCTCCATCTTATGGCCGTTTGAAAAACCACACCCAATTACAATTTTTGCATTCCCTTAAAGAGACAATATTAAATTGTCTATACTGGTTTATATATTTCCAACCCAAATAGCTGTTAGGTGACTTACATTCCTAACAGTTATCTAATTAGATAACTAAACTAAATGATACTCATTAAGCATAAAGATACTTATAGCAACCTCTCTTGATGCTTGCAGGTGTCTCTACCTATATTAGTCTTTTTTTTTAACAGTCTTTTAACAAACAAACAAATATGAAGCTTGTGTTAAAAAGCATCGACCTTTAACATTTTATTTACAATGTAGGCCATAACTATTTAGGCTCCATTAGAAAAATGGGAAATGTGGCTGCAGCCTAATATCGTTCTGAAGAAACATTTGTACCCCCAAAATAAAAAGGAAGAACATATGGGGGGGACAGGAAGAGATGGGGGGAGCCATTTCACTAGTTTTATTTTTATTTGTGAATACGGAATTCCCCACAATACCCTTACATTTCATATGTGCCCATGAGCTCAAAACAGAGTTCTTGCTACTGAAATGATTTTATAAAAAAGCTGGAATGAGGAAGAAAGAGGAAAAAGAGGAACCAAGCTGAAACATCTGCTTAAAAATTCTGCACATATCATTATCCCCACCAGTCACATTGCTCTCCCAATTTCAGCTCAGGGAAAGCTACCTGTTTCTCGAGTGTGGCTATCATCACAGATATGAAGGTCCAGACGGGAAATAAGAAGGTGATAGGAAGACTCTTTCATATCATACATCTCAAAATACTGGCTGATTGCTTTATGGGTGCTGCCAAATGACTGGGGCCAAGACTGTTGGGTACTGGGAACAGGAGGTGTGATCTGTAATACAGAAGAATGAAGTACTAATTTTCACCCATACAGAACCCAAGAGGAACAATGGAGATAACATAGTATCCATAGACCTAAAATCATCCTATGGAAACAGAAAAATAGGCTTTAAAATCCATTAATTTAAGGCAGTTTCAAATTCAAATCCATGAATGAATATTAGTAAACAGAAAGCCAAACTGGAAAACACAGATCTTGGAATAATTGTTAGACCGTTGTTGTTATTGTTGTTTTTGTAGGGGCAATGGGGGAAGGGGGAAGGGAGGTCATTATACCTGTTTCCTAAATTACAATATAGAAAATCAGTGAATGGGATTAACCCACAAAGGAAAATGAGCATTTATTTATTTATTTATAAAATTTATTGTCTGCCCATCTTACCACAGGGTAACAATCATTGAGATCATGATTGAAGCCAGGGAAATATGAATGAAAGAATAGCTATCCCTCACCTTTAGTCAACCACTCAGCCTCAGAGGCTCAGACTTTAGAATCTGTAGCCTTTCAGATGCAGCTTGATTTTTAATTATCTGCTAATATGCATCTGTCTCCCCTTCCACTTTCTAGTCATTAATCAAAATGTTGAGGAACACAGCGTGCAGGAATGATTGTTGCATCTCACTTGACCCTGTCCTAGATGAGTAACTATTGATGAATATTGTATTCTTGAGTATGGTTCTCCACTCAGGAGTAAAACCTAACACCTAATACTGTTCACCCACATTTAAGCAGCTTACTAATGAGAAAATAAAAACAGCTGTTTCCAGGCCTCCACACTTCCCTGATGATTTGTCCCCATGTCTTCCACAAAAGTCTTTTTCATTTTAGGGTAATTGCTGGGTTCTTTATTTATCTAATACTGAAGAGCCACAAAGATATGGTTTTCTAATCAGGCACTGGGAGAAGAGATTTGTAATCATGCTTAGTACTTTTTTTATGGTACTGTTTTTCTCCTGATACAATATTACATGTATATGTTTCTTATATTGTATTAGTTGTATTACTCTTTTTATTTATCTATTTTAAAATACTGCCTATGGTTGCTTCAGTGATTGGGCTGCTATCTTGATTGAATAATTAACTAAATAAAGCAATATACTGTGCAACATCAAGAACACTGAGTCAACATCCATTGTCTTTATGGGAAAAAGTAAACCAACCCTCCCTGCCAGCTTACCATTGTCTTTGTAGATAAGATAGTTTGTAGGGAAGATAACAAATGGAGATCAAGTGACCATGGGAGACTGCAACTGCCACAAATACGAACCAGTTGCCAAGTGCCTGAATCTCAATCATGTCACCATGAAGCACTACGATAGCAGGAACTGCAAGGATCTTCTAAGTACCACTCATTCACTGAAACTTTAATGGTGACTGAACAAGTGGTCTTTAACCAAAAACTACCTGTACAGTTTACTATGTAATCTTGTGAGAAGCAACATAGTAAACTAATGGAGAAAGAGAAAACAATATTACTGTTTGTTTTCCTCTTTTTTTTTAATCCCAGTATGTCTCATATTCACATAATATCCAATTTGGATCCAATCCTAAATATCTATGGAACAACATATGCTTCTGCTCTTTTGGCAAATTAAAGATTTGTGAGCTATAAAGCCCTTTGTGGTTTGACACTTGGAAATCTGATGGATTACTTACTCCAATCAAAATTGGTCCTACCTATTAAATCTGAGGTCTCCAACCTTGGCAACTTTAAGACTTGTGGACTTCAACTCCCAGAATTCCTCAGCCAGTTTTCCACAAGTCTTGGAGGTTGGAGACCCTTGTATTAAATCATCTCAGGAGAAGCTATTTTTAACTTCCCACTTTTGGGGAAGTAAAAGGAGCCGAGATCAGATCTTGCTGTCTTTTAGAAGCAGCAACAGCTCTCTGGAATGGCCTCCATTTAGAGTGCCATCTGGCCTGTCCATGACACATTCAGGAAGATTCTGAAGACCAAGCTGTTCTGAAAAGCATTCTAGTTAAGACTCGGTCATTTTTGCTGACATTTACTGACTGGATGGAAGGAGGAGTTGTCTGCTTTAAACATTTGTTTAAAGTGTTTAACTTTTAAAATATAAATTTAATTTTGCCTATATTGTGTAAACTATCAGGAGTCAATTCTTATCATAGTGAGACATAAATGCAATCAACAATATCACATGAGAGAGAGAGAGAGAGGGAGGGAGGGAGGGAGAGGGAGAAAGAGAGAGAATAAATGTATTTTAAACATGACTTGTGTTAAAGGTGCTTACTTGGACAGGTTCAGGAGCCAAAGTTTTTCTCTGCTGAGCTGATTTATCCATGGCTTCGCTCAAGGACTCTGCATACTTCATCATTGCCTTCAGCTGGGAATCAGTTAGCACCCACAACAAGTCATCAAGAAGGAACATGAGCTTAGATGCCACCACATTGCAATCCTTTGTCTGGATCATTAAAAAAAAAGATCAGCATGAGGTTTGAAAGGGTTTTTATTTATTCCCAAGAATAAGCAGATTCATTGGGTAGCATCTTTAAATTATTTTTCCCATAAGTTAGCAAATAGGCTAATTCCGAAATAATCTCTACCTCACTAGACCTTACATCACTTCTGACAAATGGCAGTCCAATCTCTTCCTGAAAGTCCCAAATGATGGCGCTCCCACGACTTCCAAGGGCAAGCTGTTCCATTGGTTGATTGTTCTCACTGTCAGAAAGTTTCTTGAATCCTTCCTCTCTGTGGCAGCCCCTCAAATATTGGAAGACTGCTATCATGTCTTCCCTGGTCCTTCTCTTCATTAGACTAGCCATGCCCAGTTCCTGTAACCATTCTTCATATGTTTTAGTCTCCAGTCCCCTAATTACCCTGGTTGCTCTTCTCTGTACTTTTTCAAGAGTCTCAACATCTTTTTTATAATGTGGTGAACAAAACTGGATGCAGTATTCTAGGTGTGGTCTTACTAAGGCTTTATAGAGTGGTATTAATACTTCACTTGATCTCAAATTCCTTGTGTGTCCAATCATACTTGGTCAATAAAGAATTCTATTCTGTTCTGTTCTTATTCTTATTCTATTATTTCCAGAGCATTGAACTGAGTTATTCCTCTCAACCCTTTAACAACTTTTAAAAACCTATTAAAACATGGTTATCAAGTTTCTGTTCAGACCCTTTTGGAACAACATGTAGTTCTTCACTTACGACTGGTCACTTATGACAGACCCTGAAAATTAAAATTCAGATTAGAAGTTTCAATGTCTGCCCTCACCCTACAGTGACAGGACCATATTTTTGGTATTCAACAACCAGCCTGCATTTAAAGTTGTTTGCACTGCCCAGTGATCACATGACCATGATTTTCAACCTTTTGTCTGAAACTGGTGTTTACTTCTGATCTCCAGCAAAAAAAAAAAAATGCCCATAGTGAATAATGGGTTCACAATGACTGCAGCACTCACTTTATGACCGCCATTTGCCTAATGACCACAAAAAAGTCATAAAATTGGGCATAATCAAATGATCACCTGTTTAATGACCATTACCACATACGACCATAATTGAGAGCTAAGTTATGGTTCTAAGTCAAGAATTGTATAACATATATCAAATCCTTTTTTTCTTTTTTTTACTAATAATCAAGGATCTGAAATTCTTAATTAATAAAATAATTCTAACTTGTGCAACTGGGAGCTCCACATTTTGCAGCTGGAATATATTATTCAAACTTAAATAGTTTTTTTTTAATCCATCTTTCTGTTTTTCGAACTCCAGAACAGCTGGGAAAAAATATATTCCATTGTTTTATCTTATTCTGGGTGAGCTGGGAATTCTTAACATTCATATCAAAAGATATTATGCATATTACCTGAACTCTAGTTATATTAATAATTCTACCCAACAATACTTTTCAACAAAATATATATTCACCTTTCTCTTAAGTGATATTTGGATTTTGCCCTGGTTAGTAATAAGTCTTAGAGGGGTAGTGAGGGGATCTTGTTCTCCACTTTCTGTAGCATCAGCTTCTATTCGAAGAGTCTGCCAGGTGAGTTCTTTAAATGTTAAAACCTATCCAGAGGGAGAAAAGGGATACATTTTTTAAAAAAAGTTCCTAAAGTTGTCTAATGTAGTTTTGTAAATTATAAATTAGGAAACAGGCAATTTTAAAAAGAACAAAGAATTACAAGCAACTTAGTTTATTTCAAAATGGTTGTGACAAACTACAGAAATCAAAAAGATGTGTAGACCAACGAAAAACGTAACGAAATGTTAAAATCTTTGCAAGCCTACAGAAAGCATTCCAAATATAAGAATACCTATTTATGGGCCTACCTCTCCCTTATGTGAATCAGTGATTCGGGTAAAGCGAAGATCACTTTGTTGCCAGGTGGGGTTGACACTATATCCTTGAAGCTGCCATAATTCAAATGATGCATGGAAGGCCTTGGAGTGTATCTTGATGGTAATAGAATTGACAATAATGTACATACCTTCTACAACCTTCTCTGCAAATCCATATTCACTGTAGAGGAGGAAATAATTTTTAATAGAGTACAATGCTTTAGCTCAGCTTAACCATTAAACCATGTAACTCGGAAATGTGTTAGGCTTATGCAAAGTTATGTTAATTCTAGGTCAGGACAGATAGCTAGATTGTTTTCTTACAATTTTATTATTATTATTTTTTAAAAAGCATTAAAAATATTAAACATAATATTAAACATCTTCATATGTCCACAAACAAATAAACCTTGCTTTCCCCATGAAGCCAATAACAAAAAAGGAAGAACCATATGAATTGTTTTTAAAAAGTCTTCTTTGCTATAATTAATGCTTCAGGCAAACACAAAGCATATTATACATTGCACAGCTTTTGTTAAGCATTGGTCCCAAAATGACAATGTGCTATAGTCCCAAAGTACAGCTGCAAGATATCTTATGTATGTAAATTTTATTCTTTTCAAAAAGATAATTCCAGAGCTATAAAAGAGAATGCTTTTTAAAAACATCTTTCTTTTTTCTTTAGCAGCTCAAAACAAAACAAAAAGCCAACAATTTTTTTTTTTATTCCCTCTCCAACATCTGGAAAAATTGACTTTAATCTGGATTCCATATAGTTTAGCTCTAAGAGATGCTGCCCCTAGTTGCACCTTATTAGGAAAATATGAGAGTAGCTACAAGAGGAAAATATCAAGGGAAAAAAACTTGAAGCGGGAATTTGCTTGATACTTATAGGCTTCAAATTAACATGTATAACAAGGCAATCAAAGTCCATCTTATTTTAAATGTGAAACGTGTTTTAAAAAGATGAGCTTTTGATTGCCTGGTTGCACCTGTCTGTCAACCCTGAAGTTGGCCGAACTGTGGCCATTTTCTTTTTGTAGCTTTTTTTTAGGGAGTTTTCTCTTCTCACTGTTTCAGGGCTGAGACAGCCTGGAGCGAAGGAGCCAGGGAGGGTGTGTGTGTGTGTGTAGAAATAGCTAGGGTGCTGTAGCCAAAATAAAATTGTTTCCTCTGGAAATCAAGGACGTTGGTGCAGGAGTTCGAGAGGTGGAGACAGAGGTCACTTAGCAACTAGACTATATGCTAATTGGACTGGTGACTGGTGGACTCTGTGGGGAAGTGACAATGTTTTACTTTTAATTAGGTGTAAAACTGTCAAGAACTTAGAGCCAGTTTTCCACCAAGAATATGCCAATTTGATATGTCCCGATAAAATGTTCTTTGAGGAATATGCCTGCCTCGGAATTCTTATTGAATGGGATGTACTACTTGAAACCTTGAAATTGTCATTTTTTAACCCCATTAAAAACCTGCTGTAGACATCACTGCAGCATAGTATCATTTGAACTAGAAAAGCAATGGTTGCACCAAAAAGCACACTAAGAAAAAATTAGAAGCAGAAATAACCTCTGTCCTGAAGCAACAGCAATGGGAGACTGTCCATTGGGTGGCCTGGGCACTTCACATGTTCGCATCTCCACTTCAACTTTATCCAAATACTGTGAAACAACAAAGAGAATAACATGGAGAGATAGTATGAAAGTACATGGAAGTAACTAGGAGAGAATAAGGTGAAATTTAAAAATACTGGGGGGTTAAATAATAAGAATTCTCTCCTAATCTAGTTTTACTGGGTTACACTTCATACTAATAGTGATGGTTTGATTTTCTTAGCCAATTCTATAAATGGAGTAAATATTTTGGGATTACTGACTAGACTATGGCATGATGTGTGAACATAACTATATGTACACTCCTGGTCCATTTCTGGTTTGCTTTTGTGCCTTAATGTAGCTTCTAATGAATCTACAAAGGTGCAAAGCACAGTTATAAAGAAACCCATCAAACAAACCAATTTGTCAAAACAAATGACCAAGTTCATTTGTGTGCATAACCTTTAATCACTCAACAACCAATTTGCCAACCCTAACCCAGAATGTGATTTGTATTTTTGACTGATTTTGATGTGCAAAACTATCAATTTATAATGTTAGCAGTAAGCAATGCTAACCTGGCTTGACATAGGTAAAAGAAATATTGTGTACAGTAATCTCACCTTTTTGTCACTAGTATCAAACTATTTAGGATTGTTTCATATGCTGAAGTTTTCAGCATGCTATTTCTATTTTAAAATGCATATACTATCCCCCATACTAATAAATATAACTACTGTTACTATCCAAAACCATCTAGCTTAAAATAAAAGCCAACTAAGTTTCACATCCTCAAAAATCACCCCCAACTAAAGCAATGACGAAGATTGTCATATGGGACCTGAAAAAAGAAGAGCCTTGAAATTAAGTCATTAATAACATAAAAATAGTTTTGCTGAATCAGGCCAAGGCCCATCTTAGTTCAGCATTTTGTTTCTCACAGCAGCCAAACGGGTTTCTCTGGCTTGCTCACAATTAGGAAACTAAGACACAAATCTTTTGCGACTCTTCCCCTGCAACCTGCATTTGGAGACATATTGTCTCCAATCCAACTATGTATCATTAAGTTTTCATTATGAATATCTCTCATTAGACTTCTTCTCTATTAATTTATCTAATCTTCTTTTGAAGTAATTTAATTTAACAATCATTACCATATCTGTGGTAATGAATTGCAGATTAATTATGAAAATATATAAAGAACTTTGTCTGTTCTAAATCTCAACATTTTAATCAACCCAAACAATGCCATTGGCCTAATTTTCTTTCAAACATTTTTCAGATTCATTCCCATGATAAGCGTATAGCGAGTCTACTCATATATACAATATCAGACATAGTTTAGGGCAGCAGAATAATACATGTAAAATGCTGTCAATTCACATTTTTTTCAGGAGTATATGGCAAGGCTTCTTATGATGGTAAAAAAAACTTACAAACACAACAATGCTGAAAACCTAAGAGAAAGATCACTGTGTTTTATAACTAACTTAATTACTTCCAACATTTATACATTCATCACAGAAATTACATAGAATTATGCTTACAACTATAACTGATCTATATGGAGACCAATAACAGTATTATCCACCCTTATTTTTAGGTTTAAAAATAAATGCTTTTTAAAGACATAAACTAGATTACAAATTCTTACTAACAAATAAACAGGAGATAAAAAGGCCATTACCAGACAGATTGGGTGAGTCTTCAACTTAGTCCACTGGATCTGAAACAACAGAACTAATATTAAATAAACAGGAAATGCTGTAAGGATTAAATAGGTTTAGGGTGGTACTAATAAGATCAGTTCTAGCAAATATTTGCTCTGAAAAATAGCATGACAAAATTTGCTTCCAGCTCTAATCTGATTGATACTGAGATGTGAAGCCTAACAGCAAACTGGAAATCAATTTAAAAGTGAATGTAACCAGAGTGCTTATGCTATAATTTCTGAAGCATCTGGGATTCAGAACTTGATCTTTTTTTTGCCAATTACTATAGCACAGGATTCCCCAACCAGGCTATGCAAGCAGCAGGCGAGTGCATATGTGCAAATCTCCCCTCGTGTGAGTACAAATGGAGCTGTGCATATACCTACCTCTCGCACGAAACCATCCCCTGTCCGCAGAGGTGATATTCAGCAGGTTTTGACCAGTTCTGGAGAACGGTAGCGGAAATTTCGAGTAATTCAGAGAACCGGTAAATACCACCTCTGACTGGAGATTTAACAGTATCCTGCCCCTGCCACAGCCACCAAGCCATGCCCACAGAACCGTTAGTAAAAAATGTGTAGTAAAAAAAAATGTGAATCCCACCACTGCCACTCCCCCCCACCCCCGCCACCATGCCGGGTCGCTAAGCCAGAAAAGTTGGGGACCACTGCTATAGCAGATCTCAAGTGCTTACATGGGAATACTTGTAGAAAAAGTCAGAGGAACTTTTACATTCAAATAAAAAAATCAGAAAAATGATGAAAACAGAAAAATACTAAATATCATATTAATAATTATAGGAATTTTGGCTTACCCTGATGGAGGCCTTGTTGCAAAAAACTCGAGTTATGGCTAGCCAGGTGGGCAGATCCAGCAAATTCTGCAGAACTTCTTCATCCAGTTCTAGATTCGTTAACTGCCCCTGCCCTTTGAGGGTGCTCAAGTTGATTTTATCAGGTGAGAGATTCTTTGTAAACCTGTAGTTGATAAAATTGGAGATAAAATTGAACACTTCCATTGATCAGAACATTGAATTAAGATTTGGATGATATAGCTTTAAATTGCATCCAAGAAGTGGGATGCCATTATCTTAGTTTCAGCTACAGTTTCATATCACAAACATTTATAGCAAGAAAATAATAAGAGTAAAAACATATCATTGTTTTAATACACAAACCATCCAACTGCTTAAGTTTACAAAGAGAAGGGAAATGAATGGCAGGTGGTATCTGATAGAAAGAAAAATAATATAGTATAATGGTAACAGATAAAAGTTATTGTTAGAATTGTACAATTTACTAAACGTATATAGGATGGAAATTATGATGTGTGTATTATAATGAGATTAGAAAGGGACTTTGTTTTAAAAACATAACAGTGGCACAACTAAAAACCAAAAAAGGGGATAGATAATGGCAATATAAACCAATATGAACTTATGAATGATTATTTGAATTATATAATTGTTTAAACACTGCAAATATGACTATTAATATATTTATAATAAAATAAGTGATGTCAAGAATATAGAGACTGAAATAAAACAGCGTATGGGAATATTGAATGATAAAAATTGATAATATGCATTAATACCAAATTAGATAAGAAAGTTAATAGCATTAATCTGAAACTATTGCCATGTTTGTTTTAAAATGTAAAATAACCTGGAACCACACTGCTCACACAATGATGTGTTTGTAGAAATAAAATAAAAATAAAAAATGTATTAAAAAAAAGTTTACCAAGTGAATTAAAATAAGACATTTCTCTGAATGCTAAAAATATAATTGTTTTTTACAAGTATAATGATATTGAAGTTCAATGTTTTGTGGCTAGTTCTTAAAATTAGATACTGTGATTCATAGTTTTAATTTGGGAAAAAATATTGTACAGAGATTTGGAAGATAAATTACTGGGTACTACAGTGAAATGGCATGGGAAATGACATCAAACAGCTAGCAATAATTGTTAAAAATGGCTCTATTTAAAATTATGAACAGAGTATTCTACTTTAATTTCAACTCTTTGATTCTGAGGTGGTATTTCTATGATCTGACTTAAATAAATATGGAAAAGTTTGGCAGCAAACCTCTTTCCCTATCTGTTTGAAGACTGAGTCTGGCATTTCCAAGCTAGCTATGCATACTGGCCACAAATGTCTTCTAGCTGTTCATTGCAAACACTAAATCTAAACCTTAATTGCCAACTGCTATTTTTGCCCCAAAATTATTACAATGCACAATTCATGCAGGATTGTTAGCTCAGATGATTCCTGGGTGTCTTGGATCTCTCAGCGGTTTTCAATACCATTGACCATGGCAACCCTTCTGAACCAGTTTTGGGAATTGGAAGAGAGTTTTGCAGAGATTTTCTTCCTTTCTATGAGACTGTTTCCCTGTTGGTATGGGAGTAGGGGAGAGGTTCTCCCCCTAGGACCCTGAAATTTGTTGGGTGTGCCTCGGGGCTTGGGTTTCTTGCCTCTCCTCTTTTAACATCTACATGAAATCACTGAACAATGTCATTTGGCAGCATGGGGTACAGTATCATCAGTACATTGATTATATGCATATATAGTTTCAGATAGGCAACGTTTCCTATTTGTAGACCAAGCCTGGTATATTTTGCTCTACCACTGAGGCACACATAGGCAGAAATTCTTGTATGCATGGAAGATGAAATTATCTCTTTTAATATATTGCATCAACCGTCTACAATTTTCTTCTAAAATTGGAAATTCATGGAAAGAGATAAGAGATAAACTTGCCACTCATCTCAAAAAGTGACTCTGGGTGGTGAACAACATTAAACTAAAATTAAAAACAATTAAAACTCCAAATGCAAAGATTAAAGTACGGTGGAACCTCGGGTCGTGACCGTAATCCATTCCAGGACTTTGGTCGCAACCCGATTTCGTCATGACTGGAAGCACAACCGACTGTGCATATGCGGATGACCAACTGTGCACGCGTGGACAAAAGAAATGGCACCGAAGGGGAAATCGCCACAGCAGGGAAAATTGTCTCAGCTATGTTTGGTCGCCACCTGAAGATATATTCACAACCAGAAGCAAAACTTTTCTGAAAATGTTGGTCATCACTCAATTTGGTCGTGGACAGAAGCATAGCAATTGAAGAAGGTATCAAAATCAATAACCACTAATAAATACAATAGCTTCTGAAAGCTCTTCCAGGGCAATCCCATGTACAAAGCATTTCATTAATCCAGATGTGAGATCACAAGGCAAGAGTGACAGTGAGAAAGATCTCCAGGTCCAGAAAGGGCATAACTGGTGTGCAACCCCAAAGTGTGCAAAGGCCCTCCTAGCCATGGTTGTCCCCTGCATTACAGATAGGAGCCATGAATCTAGGAAGAACCCCAGGTTGCATACTAGTTCTGTCTGAGTCAGCATCACCCAATCCAAAGCCAAAGATGGAAAAAACCCAGTGCCAGAAGTTCCAAACACCAGATACCACTCAGTCTTGCTTTATTGAACCAAAGCCTGTTGTCCCTCATCAAGCCCCCACAGACTCCAGGCACTGGGATCGGACATCAATAGCATAATTCAGGTGGCCTGAAGTGGAGAAGCAAAGCTGGGTATCATCAGCATATAAGTGATACCTCCCTACACACCATCAAATGACCTTACCCAGCAGCCTCATGCACGTGCTAAACTGTTTTTAAATGACTTAGCTGTCTTCCATAAAGTAACACCACTTCAGAATTTTTCTGCATATCCAATAAAGATGTAACTAGGATTACCAGAAAACTATTTAAATTTTAGTTGGATTCATCAATAAGTAATCTCCAACTAACAAGGTTATTTTTCAAGAAAATGTTCTATTTATAAAACATGATTCAGCATCACAATGGGGTGATGAAATAAGGACATTACCAGCTGCTAAATGTGGTCACACAAACTATAAAGGGATCATATCCTCCTTTGCACTTGGTTCCATTCCTAGCCTTTTGTTCTTTACATTTTTAAAATTCTTTATTTTGGAGGATCTTATCGGTTCTCCCGAATGACAACTTTCTTAGTCTATTTATCTCCCAGCACATTCATTTTTCCTTTATAATTTTTTGTGTGTCATTCTTTTTATATTATCAAATCATTTCAATCTCTTTTGTATCAATCACTCCTTTTTTCATATTCCTTAGATTTTTTTAATTGCTTATATTACTTTATAAGTAATGCAAGGCACACCTAATATTCCTTCCTTCTTCTATTTCCTTCATAACAACAACCTGTTGTTGTGGGTTGAACTAAGGAACAGTGATTGGCCCAAAGTCACACGCTAGCTTTCATGTCTAAGACAAGACTAGAACTCACAGTCTCCTGGTTTCTAGAACGGTACCTTAACCACTACACCAAATTTAATGTTAAGAAACAACATCAAGGGAAATTAATACTTATTGTTTTAGTTTAATTTTATTTATGAATTACATTCCTGATTACATTCCTGCATATATTACGAACTTTCATGCTTAGAAGTGAATCATCCCACATGTAACCACAAACTTTCCTTAATCATACATGTGCAAAGATATTAAACAACCTAGGGCAGGGGTGTCAAACTTGTGTTGTCATGGTGGCGTCATGTGATGTATCGGGAGTTTTTTCCCCTTTGCTAAACCAGGCGGGGGCGTGGCCAGCACGTGATGAATCCAGCCCACGGACTGCAAGTTTGACATCCCTGACTTAGGGGAACATACAGACTTTTATTTCATTGTTTAAATATTTATTATTCCTTACACATGCTTTATTTTCGTTATTGTCATATTTAGCAGCCAACCTTAAATTCCATATTCATGTAAAACACTGTATAATTCAAGTCTATTTGCCTTATCATATGCTTTCTTTAAATTAACAAATATGCAATAATTGTTCACGTTCATACATTTCTTAAATACTGCTGAAAAGCAAACTCTGGACTGTAAATCCTCTGTCAGGCATAAACCTGAACTGCATTTTCCAAATTTTACTATAACATCTTGTACTCCTATCAGAATCCCAACAATTTCCCATGCATACTTAACAAATTATCTCATGTCACATGGGTAATAGAATAGAAAAAAATTGACATACTTCTTCCAAATCTGCCATTGCTTCTTGCAGACATTCATGGAAAATTAAATTTGATTATGCTGACAAAGCTTTTATTAATGACATGATAAACCAGATTTATAGCCTAATTGGAAAAGAACAAATTAACATCTGTATTTTTCACACTAAAGAGGCTGTTATTGTTGTTCCTCCTTCTATAAACCTTTGAAAGCAATTTATATACAGTAGCTTCCTCCTTCGCAGTAATAACACTAGTTAGCAAACAGAGGCAAACAAAACTAAGGACAATACAATTTGCACAAATAATACCACCTCATATAACAAGAAGACATATTTCTGAGGTCAATCCATTTTTAATCAATAAATCAAGTATTAACATATAAACAGGTTCCCTTAATAGGCATCCTGCAAATAATCTGCCATCGTCCACAGAGGTATTACGTGACTTTATTGAAGAATATCCAAAAGTGCCATGCCCCAGAATTCTGCACCAATTGTAGTTTCTAGACACTCTTCATAGGCAACCCCATCTAAAGCACATTACAAGGGCTTCCAGTTTGAGCTTCTTCGGTGACAGACTGAAGTCTGTGATCGTGCACAGTTTTGATCTGTGCTTGCTGCTAGAGCACCCCGAGCCGGCTGGTTTCGGGGCTAAGCCACCCCGTAAAGGTAGTGAAGAGGGGGGAGACTGCCAGCAGGGTCGAGGAGAGTCGTATCTCTCCTCCTCAGCTGGCCATTACTCCCCTTCCCGAAGGCGGTTGCAGCGGTGGTCAGAAATGGCCACCTCAAAGAAGAACTCGACCGGAAAAAAATGTGCAGGAGGAAGATAAGAAGAGAAAGTTTTGGCTGACCAGGTTGAACTGAAAAAACAACAATATAAGGTACCCTGGAATTTGAATTATAAAGAACAAC